CAGCTTGGCTCAATCTCGCTTCCGAGCTCAGAAAGGCGTGGGTTCGAGCCCCGTACGGGGCCGCAGGCTGAGCCGAGGCAGAGATGATTGAAAAGGAGACGGGTTATTGTGCTGCTCAACAATTCCCCCGGATACATCGGTCGTTCACCTCACAGCTGCTTACGGGGACATTTCTGTGCGCAAATTGGCCACCGGGTCAGACCAGGGATACAGTCCGTGCAACTTCACAGCAATTATTTGTGAAGCGTTTGGAGACACTTCAGAGTTAGAAGCCCTGAATATCAGATGCAAGAGATATTGTTATTAAATTGGGACGGACTCGCACTCTCAGCAAACAGAAACAGACTCACAGGTGAGCGGTAATATCACCAGAACGGGAGCTCAGTGCTTCATTGACGATCGGCTTCCAGTGTTGAACATTCTTTTGGGGGTTCACTGGTGGAAGTATTTCAATAAAACCGCAGCCACGTACAGCCAAAGCCATTAACTTTACAGACCAGGGTACGTCCTTACGTTTACTCCTTATCATCTAAAACTCTCCCATCTCCACTTGCCGAGGAGAGTTTGCCGGGTAGTGCTCTCAATGAGAAGCCGTGTGGGTTTTAACTGGTTAGACTCCAGCAATTACCCCCCCAAGCCTTAGCTCTTGCCAATCCGTGCCTAATTCTCTCCGGAATTAGGTAAACGGGATGCGAGAGCGAGAGAGAAAGAGCGAGAGAGAGAGAGAGAGAGAGAGAGAGAGAGAACTCATTCCATTCCAACAATCTATCGCTGGAATTTCCATGTGTAGATGGGATGCATGGAAATCGCAGTTTGGTTTGGAGACTCATAATAATAATAATAATAATTATTATTATTATAACAACCCTCTCATTTGATATAGCGCTTTTTCACGTCTTCGAGACGTCTCAAAGCGCTTCACAGAATACACTGTAAAGTGAATTGTCTGCATATTGTATGGGTGAAACCCAGCGGCCAATTGCGCACAGCAGCGTCCCCAGAAACAGTCGTGGACTGAGTGACCAAATTGGGGTCAGGGGCGGGGGGGAATTGCAAGGGGTAAAAACTACTAACCCCCAAATCTCTCTCAAAATCTTCCCGTTCTTGAATTCATAGCACAAAATACGCAGAATATTGCCGAGATCATTAGCGAAAAGCTTTGAGAGGGGAAAGGGTGAGAGAAACATGCATCATCGAGATGATTTGTCTTCTGAAACAGGGAGAGTGCACGGGCGTGAAATATTAATGCAATGTTTGCTAACTGTGAAATTGGAAGTCGCAGGAAACCTTACAGCTCTGTCCAGCTGCTGAGTACCCAAGGAGAGGGATGGTAAGGTGAATGATTCCAGAGGCACTTACAGCTCAATCCCTCAATAATAATATTCGTCTCATTTCACACAGCGCCCCATCGGGTCCTTCGAGACGTCTCAAAGCGCTTCACAGAATACACTGCGAGGTGAATCGACTGTGGGCCAAAAGCGGCAGCCAATTAATTGAGTCATGCATCGAGTAGATCCAGTTATAATTCGAAACGTTTTTCTTTCGAAGGGATTATTGGGAGTCCTGGAGTCCTGTGGCTCAGTGGTTAGAGCACTCGCTTTGCAAGTGAGAGTGAGAGTCCTGAGTTCAATTCCAGGCAGAGGGCGAAACCTTGGACAAGTTTCCTTACTCCACACAGAGCCTAATAATAATCCCTCCAAAAAACAATAATAAATTGGTCATTTTCAATCTACGACTGTTTGTGGGACATTGCTCTGCGCAATTGGCTGCCGCGTTCGCCCACAAATATACAGTCAATTCACTTTACAGTGTGTTCTGTGAAGCGCTTTGGGACGTCCTCCCGACGTGAAAAGCGCTATATCAAATGCAAGGATTATTATTATTATTGCCCCCGGACAGCTATCGCCTGACAACCCGGGTTCCTACTCACTACGAGACAAACAGAGGCGCGCGTGTGGAGTAAGGGAACTTTCCGAACATTTCGCCCGGGCCCGGAATCGAAACCTGGGTCATCTCGCTTGCGGGGCGAGCCACAGGACTCCAAGGATCAATGGCTGCTCCGTGAGGGACGGTTGCAAGGGTTAAACGTGTAGCGCAAGGTTCAGCGGTGATCTGGCATGTGTCTTCCTAATTAAGGTCTTCACTTTGGCTCTGACATTTTCAGCGTCCTCTCCAGCTCGCTGCTGCTCGCTCCCGCACAGCCTCGGAGCCGGGAATGACTGAGAGAGAGATCCTTCTGAAGTCGCGGACGTGCAGGAATACTGACGGGAGATTTTCACTCCAGAACACAAGCCCCTAATTTGCGTGCGCTGTGAACCAGCGAAGAGCGGCGAGGCCAGATTTCTTCACCCCCCCCCCCCCACCCCACCCTTCGAACACCCAATTATTCCAGAGGGATTGAGTCTTGAACCAATCCTACAAATGCGCAGTCACTACGCACTTGGTCAACATTTGCCTGGGACGTGGTTTTGAAACGTCCTGACGTCATTGTTGCTGCTGGATCGAGTGCAAGGAATGCACTCCGTTCAGTGAAACTGTCCCTATCGAGTAAATATTCCATTTGACACAGCTCCTCATCACATCATCGAGACGCCTCAAAGCGCTTCACAGAATATACTGTAAAGTGGAACAGAACCCGCGGCCTCTCGCTTGCGAGTGCTCTAACCATCACTCTCCAGGAGTCCTCAAAATTGTAGGTGAATAGATAGCACTTCCCTACGCAGCTTTTTGAGATGTTTCGACTTATCGCGTCGAGTGTCGGTGTCGATCACCGGCTACTGAACCCGTGAAGAGCGCAGTCAGCAGCAGTAGAGGGGTTAAGCCACGCTCTGGGCAGGAAGGTCTGTGTTGTATTGCGAGACAGAATGAGCGTCGGGGTTACCAAACAATTGATCTGTTGATTGTGTGCGTTACAGAGCCAAGAGGATCGATCAACCCTCCCTCCGCAAACAGCCCGGCCCTTCGATACTCTTAGTATTCACCGTGTGAGCAACGGTTAATCTGCATCACACTCCCCTGATGTGTGGTGGGCGATGCACTGCCATAAATTAAATGGAAATCAATAGGGGGATAGGCTGCAAGGATAGTGATGAATGGAGGCAATGATTCGCCTTGCGGCTTCGACTGCGTGTGAGCGAGTACGTGTGAGCGGGTGCGCGTGTGAGCGCGCGCGCGCGTGCGGTGTGTGTGTGGTGCGCGTGCGGTGTGTGTGTGTGTCGTTATCCGATTGCCGGTTGCCAGTCGATTGGCGGGTGGTGTTTCCGGGGGGGGTAGTAATCCTTCCCCCGAAACCAATGCGGTCACTCAATTCCCCCCGACCTGTTTGCGGGACGCCGCCGGGCGCGATCAGCCAGCAAAGTGCGCGGTCGCTCCGCTTTACGACGTCAAGTGTCAAGCGCTCTGAGCACGTCTCGACGACACGACGAGGCGTTCGATTCCTAACGCAAAGAATATTATTTATTGCACCGTCCCCGGCTGCCCTGAGAGCAAATCGTTTTAAAGGGCTGATCATTTGCACCCAGAGAAATCATCAGTAACTTTTCTCTCTGTCTGTCTGTCTGTCTGTCTCTCTGTCTCTCTGTCTCTCTGTCTGTGTCTCTCCTGATACATTCGTCTCAACGTGTGAAATTAAAAGCTGGACAAGTTGTTAGAGGAGATGGGGAGGGAGTCAGGAGTTTATCCCCTCTCTCCCCCCCACCAATGAATGGGAACAGAAACAGCCACAGAGACTGGAGGCAGTGCACAGGGAAATCAGCTGAAGGTCAGTGTTTTCCACGTTAATAAGTCAACCCCTCCTTTCCTCCCTCTCTCCATCCCTCCCTCCCTCTTGCACTCACTCATCTGTATCTCTCTGGTACTTCTCTGGCTCTCTCTCATTTACATTGCTTTCCTCTCTCTCTCTCTCTCTCTCTCTCCCTCCTTCCCTCTCTCTTATACTCCTCTCTCTCTCCCTCTCTCCCTCTTATATTCATCTCTCTTTCTTACTCTCTTCTCTCTCTCACTCTCTCCCATTGATATTCTTTTCCTCTGCCTTTCTCTCTCTTATACCCCTCTCTCCTCTCTCTTCTCTCCATCTTCTACTCATCTCTCTCTCTCTCTCACTCACTCTTTCTCTCTTAAACTCACCTCCTCTCCCTCTCTCTTCTATCTTCCCTTCTTTCCTCCCTCTCTCCATCTTACACCCATCTCTCTCTCTCACTCTTTCTCTCTTAAACTCATCTCCTCTCCCTCTCTCTTACATTCTTCTTCTTCTTTCCTCTCTCTCTTACTCTTTCTCTCTTAAACTCACCTCCTCTCCCTCTCTCTTCTATTCTTCCCTTCTTTCCTCTCTCTCTCCATCTTACACCCATCTCTCTCTCTCACTCTTTCTCTCTTAAACTCATCTCCTCTCCCTCTCTCTTATATTCTTCTCCTCTTTCTCTCTCTCAGTCACTCCCTCTCTCCATCCTCTCGGATTCTGTGCTGACAGTCGCTCCATTGATGGGACAGACTTCCAGGACAGAGAGCTGCTGAAGGAAGGAGTGACTGGGAATGGGAAGAGTTTCTGGCTTCAGTGGGAAGGGAGGGATGGAGGATGGAGAGATACTGAAGGTATAGAGAGAGAGAGAGAGACTTTCCCCCTTCCCTAACCTCTGGCTGACATTACCCCCTTTCCCCCTCAGCCCTTCCCATCCTCTGGCTGACTTTCCTTTCTTTCCCCCCTACTTTTCCTCTTCTCTTCCCCCCCCACATTTTCCCTCTCTTTCCTCCTTTTCTTTCCCCCCATTTTTTTCCCCTCTCTCTCTCTCTCTTGGTTTCCTCCCCCATCTTCTGCCTGGGATTCCCCCCCACCCAACCCCCCAACTCTTTTTGTTCACTCTCTCCCCTCTCCACACCCCCTCCACCCCCCCACAGGTGAAACCATTTCGTCCAAAAGGCAAGCGAGTGATCGGCCGCAGCCGGGGTTGGGAGGGGGCAGGAGGCGGGCTCTGTTGGCCGGGGGTTTGGGGTTGGGGTTGGCAATGCTGCTCATCCTCATCCCTGTGATGGTAAGCTGGCTGGGGGCGGGGGCTGGGGCTGGGGTCAGGGATGGGGCTGAGGTTGGGGGGGTCAGGGCTGGGGTTGGGGGGGTCGGGGCTGGAGCTTACTATGAGATGCTGGGGACTTGCCGGATGGTGTGCGAGCCCCATCCCATGGACCAGAGCCCCGGTTCCATTATCCCGGAGGCCGAGGCCCTCAGCGACCCCCCTACCTTGCTCCAGGGACCCCCGGGCAGGTCTGGGAGAGTGGGCAAACCGGGTCCGCCCGGGCCACCGGGAGAACCTGGACCCAGGGGGCCGGTAGGACCGGTCGGACCTAAGGGAGAGGCGGGTAGAGCCGGGTTACCGGGAGGGACCGGGGCGATCAGTGCCGCCACGTACAGCACCGTCCCGCGGGTGGCGTTTTACGCCGGGCTGAAGACCCCGCACGAAGGTTACGAGGTCTTGAAGTTCGACGACGTTGTCACCAACCTCGGCAACCACTACGACGGCACGACCGGCAAGTTCACCTGCTCCATCCCCGGCATCTACTACTTCACCTACCACGTCCTGATGCGAGGCGGGGACGGCACCAGCATGTGGGCAGATCTGTGTAAGAACGGCCAGGTAAGCTGTGTACCTCTCCGTACTGTACCCCACTGTACTGCACTGTACCGCGCTGTACTGTACCGCACTGTGAGGCACTGTACCTCACTGTACTGCACTGTACTGTACCGCACTGTGATGTACTGTACTGCACTGTACTGTATTGCACTGTGATGTACTGTACCGCACTGCACTGTACCTCACTGAACTGTACTGCACTGTAGTGTACTGCACTGTACTGTAGTGTACTGTACCTCACTGTACTGTACTGCACTGTAGTGTACTGCACTGTAGTGTACTGTACCTCACTGTACTGCACTGTAGTGTACTGCACTTCACTGTACTGCACTGTAGTGTACTGCACTGTACTGCACTGCACTGTAGTGCACTGCACTGTAGTGTACTGTACCTCACTGTACTGCACTGTACTCTACACCCCAAGCTCTGTACTGTACAGCCGACCTCTCGCTCTGTACTGTACCCTACACCCTAAGCTCTATACTGTTCTCCACTATCCTGTCTCCCCCCCCACCCCGAAGCTTTCCACCCCCGACTGCGGGATGGAGACACGGAGACACAGACTCACTGAGCGCACCCGGTCTTGTTACTGCGATCGTTGTTGTTGCGACCGTTGTTTTGATTGTCGCTGTTCGTTTGCGTGTTTACTGTTGGTCTCTCGTTACTGTTGTTGCTCTCATTGCTGCTGCTGTTGCTGTCACCGTTGCTATTATTTTGCTGCTGTCGTTAGCGTTGCTGTTATTTTGTTCTGATTATTTATTGCCGCTGATATTGTTGCCGCTGTTTGCTGCTGTGGTTTGGCTGCTGTTATTGTTCCTGTTATTGCTGTTATTATTGCTGCAGGAGTAATGAATGGTTACTTGCCATCCGGTGCCTTTACGCGGGACTTTTCACGTCGAAACAAACAAACAAACAAAAAAGCTCTTCACGTGATTTTCGCTGTGTTTTTTGGGGGGTGGTTTTGTTGCTCTGGAGGCTCTTTGGGAATCCCGGTGCTGAGATCCTGCTCCTGCTTCTGCTTTCCTCTTTCCCTCTCCAAATCTGTCTCTTGCTCTCCGTCTCTCTTTAAATCTGTCTCTCCTCCTTTCCTCTCTTTTTCTCTCTAAATTTCTCCTTTTCGTGGAGTCCTGTAGCTCAGTGGTTAGAGCACTCGCTTTGCAAGAGAGAGACTGAGTTCAATCCCAGGCAGAGGGCCAAACCTTGGGCAAGTTTCCTTACTCCACACAGAGCCTAATAATATTCCCTCCAAAACCAAAAACAATAATAAATTGGTCATTTTGAATCTATGACACTTTGTGGGACATTGCTGTGCGCAATTGGCTGCCGCGTTCGCCCACAAATATACAGTCAATTCACTTTACAGTGTGTTCTGTGAAGCGCTTTGGGACGTCCTCCCGACGTGAAAAGCGCTCTATCAAATGCGAGGATTATCATTATTTCTCTCCTCTCTTTCCTCTTTACTCTGTCTCCGTCGGTCACTGATGGACCTGTCAGCCTTGTGCCCGTCTCTCTGAGCCTCTCTCTCTCTCTCTCTCTGTGTGTAGGTCCGGGCCAGCTCCATCGCCCAGGATGCTGACCAGAACTATGATTACGCCAGTAACAGTGTCATCCTCCACCTGGACGCCGGAGACGAGATCTTCATCAAGCTGGACGGCGGCAAAGCTCACGGGGGCAACAACAACAAGTACAGCACCTTCTCGGGATTTATCATCTACACCGACTGAGCGAGGGACAGAGGCCGGCGGTGAAGGACGCCCGTGCGAGCTGCTCACCCCCCCCCCCCCCCAGTGCCCCAGCCCCTGGGACAGACGCTGAAATGGGGGCAACTTCGGTTTCCAACACCTTCTACCCCCCTCTCCCCGACACACGGACTGGCTTCAAAAAGCTTTATTACCACCCCTCCTGCTCTCTCCCCCCTTCCCCTTCTCTCGTCCCCCCCACCCCCACCCCACCAACCCCACCAACCCCACCACCCCTCTGTGTGGCAGGAGCCAAATATTCAAAATTAAGTGTTACTGTGTATTTAATATGTTTACGTGTTCAATTGACTTGACAATTGACGAAAGAGCCAGACTGGAACCAGAGGGAGTCTCGTCTGTCTGTCTGTCTGTCTGTCTGTCTGTCTGTCTGTCTGTCTGTCTGTCTGTCTGTCTGTCTGTCTGTCTGTCTGTCTGTCTGTCTGTCTGTCTGTCTGTCTGTCTGTCTGTCTGTCTGTCTGTCTGTCTGTCTGTCTGTCTGTCGTGTGCGTGGAGCTGAGATGAATTGCTCTGAGCTGCCGGGTGGGTGGGGGGGGGTGGGAATTGTCACAGACCAACCGCTCGTTGGGGGTTCGTTTTGTGTTCGGGATCACAAGGAAAGTGTATGATCTTAGTGCCGAGCCACCGGCTTGACTTGCACTCCCTAACGACTCGCACGCAGGAGGAACCTCTCGAAAGCCTTCCAACTCGTGAAAAACTAAAGGCTGCGCAGAAAGTACTGGAACAGAGTAACAAGAGTTACCCCCCGCCCCCTCGATATTACGCTCATCTTCTAGTTGCTCGGCCGCTCCGGGAAGTGACGTTATTATCTCTATGAGAGCGAAGCTCCCAAATAAGCTTCTCATATTTGCTTTTAATTACCCGCAATTTGGTAAAGGGTGATGGTGCTTTTGCTGCTGTAAATTGGTGTCTGGCTGGATGTTGGTCGACTCCCTGGTGGTGCGTTAATCACCGCTTACTCACACACTGAAAATAGAGTCTCGCTGAGAGAGAGAGAGAGAGAGAGAGAGAGAAAGACGTGCGGAGAGACTGTGCCAAAGGCTGACCTGGAGGGTTGATGTGGGGCTCGCGGGTCACCTACCCCACCCTGTCTGCTTCACACCACGTGTTATCATAGCAGCCTAAGAACAGGAGGAGGCCATTCAGTCCCTCGAGCCTGTTCCGCCGTTCTATTAGATCATGGCTGATCTGTGCCTCAACTCCATGTACCCACCTCTGCCCCATATCCTTTGATCCCCGACCTAACAAACGTCTCTCCACCTCAGTCTTGAAACTGTGAATGGATCCAGCCATCACCCACAGGCTTTTGGGGGGGGGGAGAGAGCTCCAGATTGCCCCCAGACTACCCTTCGTGTTCTCAGGGTGTCTGTGCTTCGTACAGTGGCTGAGATTAATCCCCCGCCACCATTAGCAAAGAGAGGAACGAAGGCAGATTAATTATACGGTTTTAGCAAATGGCTGAAGGCCCTAAAGCCTTTCACGGCGGTTGCTGTCAAGTGTAGTGACTGTTTCTGTTTTTGTGAAGCAAACCCTCCATAAGCCAATTTGCCGACGTGAAAGTCCCAACAGATATCCCTGACGTCAATGATCACTTGCGACTGGACAGAGGTTTGCTGACTGTCTCGTCGGAGGAAGTTTGCTGATTAGCCGGACTCCGTCATTCCGTGTCAGATGAGATTAGAGGAGTTTCAAATTGTCAGCTTTATTAGAGAGGAAAGTTTTCTTCCCCTGTTTCTGGAGGTAATGCGTTGAAGATCGTGGTACTGTACATTGCAGTGTTAGATCAAATGTGCTTATAACAGGACACGCTTTTTAAAATCTGTGTGCATAATCGTGTAAATGCTGTGGGTGAGGGTTGGTCTGTTGAATGCATTCCAACCATCGCAGAAAACGGGTTCTGTCAGGGGTACAGATATATTTATAGCGAACGAACGGTTAAGTGACAGACAGAAGGATCAGGGCCTGAAATTCCACCTGGTTTTTAGCCCGTGTGACAACCTTCGTCTTAAAAACAGTGCACAAAATAAGGAGGTTGCTCAATAAATAAATAAATACATACATAAATAAATAATAATTTGGTACACTCGTTCCACGACTGTTTGTGGAACGCTGCTGTGCCCAATTGGTTGATGCGTTTTGCCCCATATCCCTTGATATCCTGACCTACAGGAACACAGGATCATTTTGCCTTAAAATTTAAGATTCAAGCTTAAGTCTTAATTTTTATGGCACTGTAATCTTTTAGTCTTAAATGTTAATCTCAGATTTTTATGGCGAGAACGATCGCACAGACCAAGATCGAGTGGAATTTCGAGGCTCAGAGAACTCACTCATTCAGAGCTAAGTGTTAACTCTTTTACTGTTACTTTCTGATGCTGTATATGCCTGGACGCTGCCTGCGAGCGGCAGGGAACCTGTGTGCTGGACGCCCGAAGGCCTGAGGGTGGCTGGTGCAGGACAGGATGTTCTCAGACGCTGGGGTTATGTCAAACCCAGGACGTTTACAAGGGGAAAGCATTGAGTTGAGAGACTGCGACACTCGTCGCCTTCGACCAGACATTGGAGTACAAGCATCGCTTCCAATGGAATGTGTGTGCCGAACTCCATGACATGAAACACGATTGACACCCAGTGGATGTACGTGAAAAAACATATAATAACACGTGCTTGTGGCACCCAACTATGTACATACGAAACCAGTGCAGTGTCCGTCGTGGTATCGCGCGCTTGTACGTTTAAACATTGAGCGTTGCAGCCCCTTTCTCTGCGTCTTGAGAGCCGTTATGAGCTGTGACGGGGCTGTCGATGATCGTGTGCAAATCCGTCCGCGTTTTGTCATTGCTTCAGCTCTTCGTAGAGCGCTGCTACTCCGGTTCATTCAGAGAAGCCGTGAATAAAAGTGTGCTTGGTGTATTCCATTATTTTATTGTAGAGTGGGTCTGCTTCCAGTGTGCGTGCGTAGCTCTCGGCTTCCGTTGGTTGGGAGGCTGGTTAACCCTCCCAATTCCTTGCAATCGATCATTAACAATCATACGACAGTCCTTGCATTTCGGTGCACCATCTTTCAGGGCGAGAGGACGTCTCAAAGCACTTCACAGGATTTATCGGGTACGTTGCGGGCAAAACCCGGCAGCCAGTTTGCGCACAGCAGCGTCCCACAAACAGCCGTGAAATGAGTCGCCAATTTTATTTGGGGGGGGATTGTTGGCCAGGACAGTATTGGCCAGGAGAACGCCCTTCTCTTTCTCAAATAGCGCCACGGGATCATTAACATTCACCTGAACAGGCAGACGGGGAGTGAGGTTTAACGTCGACTACCCATGGCCATCTAGGCAGCTTCGCCCCCCCACCCCCCTCCCCACCCCCGCCCCAGACGCTGTGTGTAATTGGCCCGTTCAATAATTTGATCCAAATGCACAGCTTTGAGACAAAATGGTGTCGAGGCTGAGACCGAGTGGAATTTCGGAGGCTCGCTCAATGCCTCTTGGCCCTGACGCACGGAGGCCGGCGCTGACTGCCGATGACTCGCAAAGCGAGAGGAGTTTGATGGAAAGCGATCAACTTGACAGCTGCTCTGGAGGGGAAAGCAGGGGAGGGAAGGAGGGCGCGTGCGTGTGTGTGTGTGTGTGTGTGTAACTCAAGGCTGGGAGCTGGGAACAAAAAAAAGACTTTGTATCTCACACAGGTCACTAACTCCCGGGTCGCTTCCTCCAGCAAACCCCACAAGGAACCGCTGGCTGTGCTGTCAACGGCAGACGACACTGACAAGCAGAGAGTGGGAGGAGCGGAGTTGGGTCCAAATCCAGGCAGGTCCACGCTCGGCCACCGAAAGGTTACAATAGGAGCTGGGAGACACACACAGACCATTGTTGGCTTGGTCTTGTGCTTTTCACCCTCGCGTGCGCGCTCCATCTGCTTTCCACAGCCACAAGCAGTGAGGAAATGCCGTCAGTTTCTCCGAATGTGTCCGCTGCTTTGTGTTTAAGGCACTCGTTACCAGATATCATTGTCATGCAGAGCGGCTGTGGCCCTCGGACCATCTGACGTGGACATCTCATTTGTCCGCTGGTCTTCCCCAATGTAGAACCATCTTTGCTACCATCTCCCTCGCCGCAAGGCTCCCAATCTAATTATAATCAATCCCCAGCTCAAGGCCGAGTGTTGGGGATGATCATGGACGTGGGAGAGAAGTCAAACTTGTCTGAAGTGGTCAATTCAGGCCTCGAGCACTGCCTAAAAATGGATCAAAAAAGAAACCTCAAAATAATATCCACGACTTGTTTGTGGGGGACGCCGCTGAGCGCAATCGGCTGCCGCGTTTCGCCCGCAAAATACACAGTCAATTGACTCCACAGTGTATTCTGTGAAGCGCTTTGAGACATCTCGAAAACGTGCCGATGAGCTGTATCAAATGCGAGGATTATTATTATTACGATTAGAGTGTTTGCAGGGGAGAGAGGGGGAGAGGGAGGGACGGCTTGAGGTTGATGTATTTCTGGTCGATGTTCAGACAAGATGGAACAAACAAATCTCACTGAATATCTCAATGCTGGCAGCCGGTGGCAAATCTATGCTCTGCGACGATACATCACTGGATTGATGAGTGAACGATTATCAAAATTAGAAAATCATATCACTCGGGAGGATGGGGGCTATGAGCAGAACCTGGGCTGCCTGTGAGTAGATGGAAGGGAATTGCCACCAGAAATTGCTAAGCGCAGAGAGCAACTAATCTGACGGAGTTTGAAAGCTCAAATCAAATATTGGTGCAAGGCTCAGTGTAGGCCAGGGTTAGTGCCAATTGGGAATAATAATAATCCTTGCATGGGATGCAGCGCTTTATTACGTCTTCTAGACGTCAAAAGAGCTTCACAGAATATGGTATACAACCACAACAACAAGATTTCATTTATAGAGCACCTTTCACGTCGGGAGGACGTCCCAAGGCGCTGGACAGTTGGGTCAGG